ATTGGTACTTTATGGTGGCCCATCACTACATATTGGTACTTTATGGTGGCCCATCACTACATATTGGTACTTTATGGTGGCCCATCACTTCATATTGGTACTTTATGGTGGTCCATCACTACATATTGGTACTTTATGGTGGCCCATCACTACATATTGGTACTTTATGGTGGTCCATCACTACATATTGGTACTTTATGGTGGCCCATCACTACATATTGGTACTTTATGGTGGCCCATCACTACATATTGGTACTTTATGGTGGTCCATCACTACATATTGGTACGTTATGGTGGTCCATCACTACATATTGGTACTTTATGGTGGCCCATCACTACATATTGGTACTTTATGGTGGTCCATCACTACATATTGGTACTTTATGGTGGTCCATCACTACATATTGGTACTTTATGGTGGTCCATCACTACATATTGGTACTATACTTGGTGGTCCATCACTACATATTGGTACTATATGGTGGTCCATCACTACATATTGGTACTATTTATGGTGGTCCATCACTACATATTGGTACTTTATGGTGGTCCATCACTACATATTGGTACTATATGGTGGTCCATCACTACATATTGGTACTATATGGTGGTCCATCACTACATATTGGTACTATACTTGGTGGTCCATCACTACATATTGGTGGTGGTCCATCACTACATATTGGTACTATACTTGGTGGTCCATCACTACATATTGGTACTATACTTGGTGGTCCATCACTACATACTATTGGTACTATGGTGGTACTATGGTGGTTATGGTGGTCCATCACTACATATTGGTATATGGTGGTCCATCACTACATATTGGTACTATACTTGGTGGTCCATCACTACATATTGGTACTTTATGGTGGTCCATCACTACATATTGGTACTTTATGGTGGTCCATCACTACATATTGGTACTTTATGGTGGTCCATCACTACATATTGGTACTTTATGGTGGTCCATCACTACATATTGGTACTATACTTGGTGGTCCATCACTACATATTGGTACTATACTTGGTGGTCCATCACTACATATTGGTACTATACTTGGTGGTACTTTATGGTGGTCCATCACTACATATTGGTACTATACTTGGTGGTCCATCACTACATATTGGTACCTTATGGTGGTCCATCACTACATATTGGTACTTATGGTGGTCCATCACTACATTTGGTACTATACATGGTGGTCCATCACTACATATTGGTACTTTATGGTGGTCCATCACTGGTCCATCACTACATATTGGTACTATATGGTGGTCCATCACTACATATTGGTACTATATGGTGGTCCATCACTACATATTGGTCCATCACTACTATGGTGGTCCATCACTACATATTGGTACTATGGTGGTCCATCACTACATATTGGTACTTTATGGTGGTCCATCACTACATATTGGTACCTTATGGTGGTCCATCACTACATATTGGTACCTTATGGTGGTCCATCACTACATATTGGTACTTTATGGTGGTCCATCACTACATACATATTGGTACCTTATGGTGGTCCATCACTACATATTGGTACTTTATGGTGGTCCATCACTACATATTGGTACTTTATGGTGGTCCATCACTACATATTGGTACTATTCTTGGTGGTCCATCACTACATATTGGTACTATACTTGGTGGTCCATCACTACATATTGGTACTATACTTGGTGGTCCATCACTACATATTGGTACTTTATGGTGGTCCATCACTACATATTGGTATATTGGTACTTTATGGTGGTCCATCACTACATATTGGTACTTTATGGTGGTCCATCACTACATATTGGTATTTTATGGTGGTCCATCACTACATATTGGTACTTTATGGTGGTCCATCACTACATATTGGTACTTTATGGTGGTCCATCACTACATATTGGTACTTTATGGTGGTCCATCACTACATATTGGTACTTTATGGTGGTCCATCACTACATATTGGTACTTTATGGTGGCCCATCACTACATATTGGTACTTTATGGTGGTCCATCACTACATATTGGTACTTTATGGTGGCCCATCACTACATATTGGTACTTTATGGTGGCCCATCACTACATATTGGTACTTTATGGTGGTCCATCACTACATATTGGTACTTTATGGTGGCCCATCACTACATATTGGTACTTTATGGTGGTCCATCACTACATATTGGTACTTTATGGTGGCCCATCACTACATATTGGTACTTTATGGTGGTCCATCACTACATATTGGTACTTTATGGTGGTCCATCACTACATATTGGTACTTTATGGTGGCCCATCACTACATATTGGTACTTTATGGTGGCCCATCACTACATATTGGTACTTTATGGTGGCCCATCACTACATATTGGTACTTTATGGTGGCCCATCACTACATATTGGTACTTTATGGTGGTCCATCACTACATATTGGTACTTTATGGTGGCCCATCACTACATATTGGTACTTTATGGTGGTCCATCACTACATATTGGTACTTTATGGTGGCCCATCACTACATATTGGTACTTTATGGTGGCCCATCACTACATATTGGTACTTTATGGTGGCCCATCACTACATATTGGTACGTTATGGTGGTCCATCACTACATATTGGTACTTTATGGTGGCCCATCACTACATATTGGTACTTTATGGTGGCCCATCACTACATATTGGTACTTTATGGTGGTCCATCACTACATATTGGTACTTTATGGTGGCCCATCACTACATATTGGTACTATACTTGGTGGTCCATCACTACATATTGGTACGTTATGGTGGTCCATCACTACATATTGGTACTTTATGGTGGCCCATCACTACATATTGGTACTTTATGGTGGTCCATCACTACATATTGGTACTTTATGGTGGTCCATCACTACATATTGGTACTATACTTGGTGGTCCATCACTACATATTGGTACTATACTTGGTGGTCCATCACTACATATTGGTACTATACTTGGTGGTCCATCACTACATATTGGTACTATACTTGGTGGTCCATCACTACATATTGGTACTGTATGGTGGTCCATCACTACATATTGGTACCTTATGGTGGTCCATCACTACATATTGGTACTATACTTGGTGGTCCATCACTACATATTGGTACTTTATGGTGGTCCATCACTACATATTGGTACTATACTTGGTGGTCCATCACTACATATTGGTACTATACTTGGTGGTCCATCACTACATATTGGTACTTTATGGTGGTCCATCACTACATATTGGTACTTTATGGTGGCCCATCACTACATATTGGTACTTTATGGTGGCCCATCACTACATATTGGTACTATACTTGGTGGTCCATCCCTACATATTGGTACTTTATGGTGGTCTGTCACTACATATTGGTACTATACTTGGTGGTCCATCACTACATATTGGTACTTTATGGTGGTCCATCACTACATATTGGTACTCTATGGTGGTCTGTCACTACATATTGGTACTATACTTGGTGGTCCATCACTACATATTCGTACCTTATGGTGGTCCATCACTACATATTGGTACTTTATGGTGGTCCATCACTACATATTGGTACTATACTTGGTGGTCCATCACTACATATTGGTACTATACTTGGTGGTCCATCACTACATATTGGTACTTTATGGTGGTCCATCACTACATATTGGTACCTTATGGTGGTCCATCACTACATATTGGTACTTTATGGTGGTCCATCACAACATATTGGTACCTTATGGTGGTCCATCACTACATATTGGTACTTTATGGTGGTCCATCACTACATATTGGTACTTTATGGTGGTCCATCACTACATATTGGTGCCTTATGGTGGTCCATCACTACATATTGGTACTTTATGGTGGTCCATCACTACATATTGGTACTTTATGGTGGTCCATCACTACATATTGGTACTTTATGGTGGTCCATCACTACATATTGATACTTTATTGTAGCCCATCACTACATATTGGTTCTATGATGGTCCATCACTACATATTGGTACTTTATGGTGGTCCATCACTACATATTGGTACTATACTTGGTGGTCCATCACTACATATTGGTACTATACTTGTTGGTCCATCACTACATATTGGTACTATACTTGGTGGTCCATCACTACATATTGGTACTTTATGGTGGTCCATCACTACATATTGGTACTTTATGGTGGTCCATCACTACATATTGGTACTTTATGGTGGTCCATCACTACATATTGGTTCTATGGTGGTCCATCACTACATATTGGTATTTTGGAGGAAATAGTTACGAAAAGAAATAATTTTTGGAGGTTGGGTTTAAATAGATTAAAGTCACTCTCATCCCTTTGGTCACCATTGGGTCCCTCTGGTACCTTGGGTGCACATCTGCTCAGAATAACTTACCCCGCCCCCCTCCCCCCTCCTTCACCCCAACATTATATACAAGTTTTGATAACAATTGTTTAAGTAAAAAGTTAGTAATATGAACACTCGGCAGTCATGTCAAACTGTCAAACATGAATGATGGGCGTGCGGGCGCGTGCGGGCGCGTGCAGGACGTCGTACAAACAGACCAAGCAGGAACTAGACGCTATATACCACACTATTTAAACACATAAACAACCCGGCTGGCAATTCACAGGTGACTGTCAACACCACTCTGGCCAGCCGCTGTTTACAAATAATCTCCAATTACCTCGCTTTTATGGACGCTTCATCGGTATTTTTTTTTTTTAGTAATTGGTCATTATTAAATTATTATTTTAATAGCTACAATTACGTTCGTATTTTTTTGTGATGAAGTTCGTTTTTTACCAAAGAAGATGTGTAGAATCTGTTCGTATTTTGTGGGACATTTTCACATTTAATTAATATTTTCCACAAAGATTTGCCAGAACTTTGTAATCTGCTCGGAAAAGGAACAAGGCAATATTGGAAGAAGGTAATATTGCCAGAATTTAAAGTATTAATCAGTCAAATTACAATCTTCATGGTACCACTTACCTTGTGAAATATTAGATAAGGTTTCCTCTGATTAAGAATGGAGAGAGTGATGCCTTTCTCCGGGACGGGTGATCGACTGGGGACCTGGTCCGGCCCCAGTGTGTAGCCTTGGCTCACCAGGGGCCGAGGGTGGCACCCTGTAGATGGGCGGAGGGAGTGTGGGCGTAGGCGGAGAGGCTGGTGATGTGAATGGCAGTCTTCCACCCTCAAACCCCACCCATTCAGTGCTGACCACAGCTCCACCCCGATGCAACTACCTCGGAATTTTTTGCTTCTTTTTACTTTCTCACTGCTATCGCAGACTGTGTCGTTCATCCCTCTTCTGCTGTTATCGCAGACTGTGTCGTGCCTCCTTCTTCCCCTGCTATCGCAGGCTGTGTCGTGCCTCCTTCTTCCCCTGCTATCGCAGGCTGTGTCGTGCCTCCTTCTTCTGCTATTATCGCAGACTGTGTTATTCCTCCCTCTCTCGCTGCTGGAATCAGTCCAAAAATATATATTTACAAAACTTAACATTCAACAAATATCCACAAATTCACAACTTTGTTGTATAGCGCATCATTACAAATGATCTCCACGACACTCATCAGGTAATGTATCGGAAAATAACGAAAGTAAGAAATGAAGGACGATGTGGAAGAACTTAGTGAGGAAGAGTGAGAGGTGGAGAGTGAAGAAGAGTGAGAGGTGGAGAGTGAAGAAGAGTGAGAGGTGGAGAGTGAAGAAGAGTGAGAGGTGGAGACTGAAGAAGAGTGAGAGGTGGAGAGTGAAGAAGAATGAGAGGTGGAGACTGAAGAAGAGTGGGGGAGTGAGTGAAAGTGAAAGTTTAGAAAGAGATTAGGATTAAGGATAGACATACAAAGAGGAGGTAGAGGAAGATGAGTGGAAAAGGTTTGAAAAAAAGAGGTAAAATTAGGTAGAGTTGAACAATGTAGATAGACAGATTGGTAAGTAGACAATAATAAGAGGAAGAAGGGTTGTCACCATTCATTCAGAAAGTTTGCAAGATAAGGAATGGAAACCGTCTGTCTACAGTTATTATATAATCCATGTTAAGTAAAAACCACAACCAAGTGAATTATAAAGCCCAATCGTTAGTACGTAAACATTAGAGTGCTCCCCACTCTGGCTTTACCTTTACCATCAATCAAAATATATTTCAAGGATCTTACGTTATCAGATTCAAGATAATCTAAAATGTTTTCAAGAAATTTTGGAAACGGAGGACATCACCTTACACTCAAACTGACCAAGACTGTGAGGAAGGTGTTACTGAGGAGGGGAGGCTGGCTGACAGTCCAGGCCCCCGCCAGCCTGCTGGAGGCTGGCTGACAGTCCAGGCCCCCGCCAGCCTGCTGGAGGCTGGCTGACAGTCCAGGCCCCCGCCACCCTGCTGGAGGCTGGCTGACAGTCCAGGCCCCCGCCACCCTGCTGGAGGCTGGCTGACAGTCCAGGTCCCCGCCAGCCTGCTGGAGGCTGGCTGACAGTCCAGGCCCCCGCCAGCCTGCTGGAGGCCGGCTGACAGTCCAGGTCCCCGCCAGCCTGCTGGAGGCTGGCTGACAGTCCAGGTCCCCGCCAGCCTGCTGGAGGCTGGCTGACAGTCCAGGTCCCCGCCAGCCTGCTGGAGGCTGGCTGACAGTCCAGGTCCCCGCCAGCCTGCTGGAGGCTGGCTGACAGTCCAGGTCCCCGCCAGCCTGCTGGAGGCTGGCTGACAGTCCAGGTCCCCGCCAGCCTGCTGGAGGCTGGCTGACAGTCCAGGTCCCCGCCAGCCTGCTGGAGGATGGCTGAGAGTCCAGGTCCCCGCCAGCCTGCTGGAGGCTGGCTGACAGTCCAGGTCCCCGCCAGCCTGCTGGAGGCTGGCTGACAGCCCAGGTCCCCGCCAGCCTGCTGGAGGCTGGCTGACAGTCCAGGTCCCCGCCAGCCTGCTGGAGGCCGGCTGACAGTCCAGGTCCCCGCCAGCCTGCTGGAGGCTGGCTGAGAGTCCAGGTCCCCGCCAGCCTGCTGGAGGCTGGCTGACAGTCCAGGTCCCCGCCAGCCTGCTGGAGGCTGGCTGACAGTCCAGGTCCCCGCCAGCCTGCTGGAGGCTGGCTGAGAGTCCAGGTCCCCGCCAGCCTGCTGGAGGCTGGCTGAGAGTCCAGGTCCCCGCCAGCCTGCTGGAGGCTGGCTGACAGTCCAGGTCCCCGCCAGCCTGCTGGAGGCCGGCTGACAGTCCAGGTCCCCGCCAGCCTGCTGGAGGCCGGCTGACAGTCCAGGTCCCCGCCACCCTGCTGGAGGCCGGCTGACAATCCAGACCCCCGCCACCCTGCTGGAGGCCGGCTGACAATCCAGGCCCCCGCCAGCCTGCTGGAGGCCGGCTGACAGTCCAGGCCCCCGCCAGCCTTGAGGTTATCTTGAGGTTATCTTGAGATGATTTCGGGGCTTTTTAGTGTCCCCGCGGCCCGGTCCTCGACCAGGCCTCCACCCCCAGGAAGCAGCCCGTGACAGCTGACTAACACCCAGGTACCTATTTTACTGCTAGGTAACAGGGGCATAGAGTGAAAGAAACTTTGCTCATTGTTTCTCGTCGGCGCCTGGGATCAAACCCAGGACCACAGGATCACAAGTCCCGCGTGCTGTCCGCTCGGCCGACCGGCTCCCTATGCCTGCTGGAGGCCGGCTGACAGTCCAGTCCCCCGCCAGCCTGCTGGAGGCCGGCTGACAGTCCAGGTCCCCGCCACCCTGCTGGAGGCCGGCTGACAGTCCAGGCCCCCGCCAGCCTGCTGGAGGCCGGCTGACAGTCCAGGCCCCCGCTAGCCTGCTGGAGGCCGGCTGACAGTCCAGGTCCGGGGCAGCCAGCTGGAGGCCGGCTGACAGTCCAGGTCCGGGGCAGCCAGCTGGAGGCCGGCTGACAGTCCAGGTCCCCGACACCCTGCTGGAGGCCGGCTGACAGTCCAGGCCCCTGCCAGCCTGCTGGAGGCCGGCTGACAGTCCAGGCCCCCACCAGACTGCTGGAGGCCGGCTGACAGTCCAGGTCCCCGCCACCCTGCTGGAGGCCGGCTGACAATCCAGGCCCCCGCCAGCCTGCTGGAGGCCGGCTGACAGTCCAGGCCCCCGCCAGCCTGCTGGAGGCCGGCTGACAGTCCAGGCCCCCGCCAGCCTGCTGGAGGCCAGCTGACAGTACAGGCCCCCGCCAGCCTGCTGGAGGCCGGCTGACAGTCCAGGTCCCCGCCAGCCTGCTGGAGGCCGGCTGACAGTCCACTGCCTCTGCCAGCCTGCTGGTGGCCGGCTGACAGCCCAGGCCCCCCGCCAGCCTGCTGGTGGCCGGCTGACAGCCCAGGCCCCCCGCCAGCCTGCTGTTGCTGGCTCCTCTGGTGTAGCCAGGCTCCTCTCTATCTAACAATGCACAACTGTTCAAGTATTTCCGTGAGACCAAGAGCTAAGCTCCACAGATCAGGCGAGCCTCTGGCGATCTACGACACCTAGACAGCGGCTTGTTTGATGGGGAGGAAATTGCCGCCCATCTCCAATTATCAAATTAGCATATGGCAAGGTCAACTGCCACAACCTGACCTTGCCATACATGTGACCTGACCTTGCCATACATGTGACCTGACCTTACCATACATGTGACCTGACCTTGCCATACATGTGACCTGACGTTGCCATACATGTGACCTGACCTTACCATACATATGACCTGACCTTGTCATACATGTGACCTGACCTTGCCATACATGTGACCTGACCTTGTCATACATGTGACCTGACCTTACCATACATGTGACCTGACCTTACCATACATGTGACCTGACCTTGTCATACATGTGACCTGACCTTACCATACATGTGACCTGACCTTACCATACATGTGACCTGACCTTGCCATACATGTGACCTGACCTTACCATACATGTGACCTGACCTTACCATACATGTGACCTGACCTTGCCATACATGTGACCTGACCTTGCCATACATGTGACCAGACCTTACCATACATGTGACCTGACCTTGCCATACATGTGACCTGACCTTGCCATACATGTGACCTGACCTTACCATACATGTGACCTGACCTTACCATACATGTGACCTGACCTTACCATACATGTGACCTGACCTTACCATACATGTGACCTGACCTTACCATACATGTGACCTGACCTTGCCATACATGTGACCTGACCTTGCCATACATATGACCTGACCTTGTCATACATGTGACCTGACCTTGCCGTACATGTGACCTGACCTTACCAGACATATGACCTGTCGCCGCTCACCATCCAGTGTGAACCAACTCTTGTGTTAGTGAAATATTTAATACAATCAAATATTATGACATTTCTTTTGACCATGTCTTGGTATAGTGCGTGTGCCGGGGAACAACACCCTCCACATGGGTTCGAATCCTCATCACGGCTCATGTGGATATTCTCCCCGATTATGGTGTTACAATCATAATTCAAAAAGAGTAATGAGTTTGCTATTGACATACCTTGTGTGGTGAAGGTTGACGCTGTTGTAGTAGCCTCGTGCTGCCTCCACGGCCACCACCACCACCATCACCATCACCACCACAACCACAACTACCACAAATTTGGTCCCTCGTCGGCATAGTTGTCTCATATCCAAGTCATTACAGAATGATTATCAGCCTCTGCAACATACACATTATAATCATTATTCTCATTATAACAAAACACACGAACAATCCAAGGTATCATCTGGGAGATGAAATTCTTCAGGAGTCAGAGAAGGAAAAAGACTTGGGGGTTGATATCACGCCAGACCTGTCTCCTGCAGCACATATCAAGCGGATAACATCAGCGGCATATGCCAGGCTGGCCAACATACGAACGGCATTCAGAAACTTGTGTAAAGAATCATTCAGAACTTTGTATACCACATATGTCAGGCCAATCCTGGAGTATGCAGCCCCAGCATGGAGTCCATATCTAGTCAAGGATAAGACTAAACTGGAAAAGGATCAAAGGTTTGCCACCAGACTAGTACCCGAGCTGAGAGGTATGAGCTACGAGGAGAGACTACGGGAATTAAACCTCACTTCGCTGGAAGACAGAAGAGTTAGGGGGGACATGATCACCACATTCAAGATTCTGAAGGGGATTGATAGGGTAGATAAAGACAGTCTATTTAACACAAGGGGAACACGCACAAGGGGACACAGGTGGAAACTGAGTGCCCAAATGAGCCACAGAGATATTAGAAAGAACTTTTTTAGTGTCAGAGTGGTTGACAAATGGAATGCATTAGGAAGTGATGTGGTGGAGGCTGACTCCATACACAGTTTCAAGTGTAGATATGACAGAGCCCGATAGGCTCAGGAATCTGTACACCTGTTGATTGACGGTTGAGAGGCGGGACCAAAGAGCCAGAGCTCAACCCCCGCAAACACAACTAGGTGAGTACAACTAGGTGAGTACAACTAGGTGAGTACACACACACACACACACACACACACACACACACACACACACACACACACACACACACACACACACACACACACACACACACACACACACACACACACACACACACACACACACACACACACACACACACACACACACACACACACACACACACACACACACACACACAAGTTAGAACATCATTCAGAAACCTAAGTAAGGAGGCATTTAGGGCGCTTTACACTGCCTACGTAAGGCCAGTCTTAGAGTATGCCGCCTCATCATGGAGTCCCCATCTGAAGAAGCATATAATGAAACTGGAAAAGGTTCAGAGGTTTGCAACGAGACTCGTCCCAGAGCTACGAGGGATGGGGTATGAAGAGCGCCTGAGGGAACTGTGCCTTACGACACTAGAAAGAAGAAGGGAGAGGGGGGACATGATAGGAACGTATAAGATACTCAGAGGAATTGACAGAGTGGACATAGACGAAATGTTCACACGGAATAGTAACAGAACGAGAGGACATGGATGGAAGCTTGAAACTCAGATGAGTCACAGAGATGTTAGGAAGTTTTCTTTTAGCGTGAGAGTAGTGGGGAAATGGAATGCACTTCAGGAACAGGTTGTGGAAGCAAATACTATTCATACTTTTAAAACCAGGTATGATAGGGAAATGGGACAGGAGTCATTGCTGTAAACAACCGATGCTTGAAAGGCGGGATCCAAGAGTCAATGCTCGATCCTGCAAGCACATATAGGTGAGTACATATAGGTGAGTACACACACACACACACACACACACACACACACACACACACACACACACACACACACACACACACACACAAACGCACGCACAAACGCATATTCATTCCTGGCATTCCTGGCATTCCAGAATGCCAGGAATGAATATGTTAGGATGAGAAGAGAGGCAGAAAGACAATACGAAAATGACATCGCAAGCAAGGCAAAGACTCAGCCTAAATTGCTGCATAGCCACATCAGGAGAAAAACAACAGTAAAGGAACAGGTTATGAAATTAAGGATGGGGGCAGAAGGATTCACTACAAACGACAAGGAAGTGTGTGAGGAACTGAATAAGAAATTCCAAGAGGTCTTCACCTTAGAGCAAGGAGAAATCCCAGAGATAAGAGAGGGAATAGCTAACCAGGAACCACTGGAAGAGTTTGAGATTACCAGCGGGGAAGTAAGGAAGTGTTTACTAGAATTGGATGTGACAAAGGCTACAGGCCCAGATGGAATCTCCCCTTGGATACTAAAGGAAGGAGCAGAAGAACTGTGCCTCCCGCTCTCCATGGTGTATAACAAATCACTGGCAACAGGGGAACTGCCAGAAATTTTGAAAGCAGCTAATGTAGTCCCGATATACAAGAAAGGGGATAGACAGGAGGCACTGAATTACAGACCAGTGTCCCTAACCTGCATACCATGCAAGACGATGGAGAAGATTGTGCGAAGAAAGCTAGTGGAGCACCTGGAGCGAAAGAACTTTGTAACACAGCATCAACATGGATTCAGAGATGGCAGGTCCTGGGTTACTCACAGGGTTACTTGAATTCTACGACCAGGCAACAAAAATAAGGCAAGAAAGAGAAGGGTGGGCAGACTGCATATTTTTGGATTGTCAGAAAGCCTTTGATACAGTGCCACACAAGAGGCTAGTGAAAAAACTGGAGATGCAGGCTGGAGTGAAAGGGAAGGTACTCCGTTGGATACAGGAGTACCTAAGTAACAGGAGACAACGAGTCAGTGTGAGGGGTGAGGTCTCAGATTGGCGAGACGTTACGAGTGGAGTACCGCAGGGGTCAGTCCTTGGACCTATACTGTTTCTGATATATGTAAATGATCTTCCAGAGGGTATAGAATCGTTTCTCTCAATGTTTGCAGATGATGCAAAAATTATGAGGAGGATTGAAACTGAGGACGATAGTAGGAGGCTACAAGATGACCTAGACAGACTGAGTGAATGGTCCAACAAATGGCTGTTGAAGTTCAACCCGAGTAAATGCAAAGTAATGAAACTAGGTGGTGGAAATAGGAGGCCAAACACAGGATACAGAATAGGAGATGAAGTACCTAATGAAACGAACAGAGAGAAAGATCTTGGAGTTGATATCACACCAAATCTGTCTCCTGAAGCCCACATAAAAAGAATAACGTCTGCGGCATATGCGAGGCTGGTTAACATCAGAACAGCGTTCAGGAACCTGTGTAAGGAATCATTCAGAATCTTGTACACCACATATGTAAGACCAATCCTGGAGTATGCAGCCCCAGCATGGAACCAGGACCTTGTCAAGCACAAGACGAAGCTGGAAAAAGTCCAAAGGTATGCCACTAGACTAGTCCCAGAACTAAGAGGCATGAGTTACGAGGAATGGCTGCGGGAAATGCACCTTACGACACTGGAAGACAGAAGAGTAAGGGGAGACATGATCACAACCTACAAAATCCTCAGAGGAATCGACCGGGTAAACAAGGATAAACTATTCAACACTGGTGGGACGCGAACAAGGGGACACAGGTGGAAACTGAGTATCCACATGAGCCACAGAGACGTTAGAAGGAACTTTTTCAGTGTCAGAGTAGTTAACGGATGGAATGCATTAGGAAGAGATGTGGTGGAGGCTGACTCCATACACAGTTTCAAGTGTAGATATGATAGAGCCCAATAGGCTCAGGAATCTGTACACCTGCTGATTGACAGTTGAGAGGCGGGACCAAAGAGCCAGAGCTCAACCCCCGCAAACACAACTAGGTGAGTACAACTAGGTGAGTATACACACACACACACACACACACACACACACACACACACACACACACACACACACACACACACACACACACACACACACACACACACACACACACACACACACACACTCTAGGGGCACTCGTAGCCTGGTGGATAGCGCGCAGGACTCGTAATTCTGTGGCGCGGGTTCGATTCCCGCACGAGGCAGAAACAAATGGGCAAAGTTTCTTTCACCCTAAGTGCCCCTGTTACCTAGCAGTAAATAGGTACCTGGGAGTTAGTCAGCTGTCACGGGCTGCTTCCTGGTGTGTGTGTGTGTGTGTGTGTGTGTGTGTGTGTGTGTGTGGTGTGGAAAAAAAAGTAGTTAGTAAACAGTTGAGAGGCGGGCCGAAAGAGCAAAGCTCAACCCCCGCAAAAACACAACTAGTAAACACACACACACATGTGTGTGAAAAAAAGCCTTTGATACAGTACCGCACATGAGACTGCTGTTCAAGCTCGAGAGGCAGGCGGGGGTGGGGGGAAAGGTCCTAGCATGGATAAGGAACTACCTAACACGAAGGAGCCAAAGAGTTACGGTAAGGGGCGAGAAGTCGGACTGGCGAACAGTAACAAGTGGAGTTCTACAAGGATCGGTGCTGGGACCAATTCTATTTCTTGTATATGTTAACGACATGTTTACTGGCGTAGAGTCCTACATGTCGATGTTTGCGGATGATGCAAAGTTAATGAGAAGAGTTGTGACAGATGAGGATTGCAGGATCCTCCAAGAGGACCTGAACAGGTTACAGAGATGGTCAGGGAAATGGCTACTGGAGTTTAACACCAGTAAATGTAAAGTTATGGAAATGGGATCAGGTGACAGGAGACCAAAGGGACAGTACACAATGAAGGGGAACAGCCTACCTGTAACGATTCGAGAAAGAGACCTGGGAGTGGATGTGACACCTAATCTAACTCCTGAGGCACATATAAATAGGATAACGACAGCAGCGTACTCTACACTGGCGAAAATTAGAACTTCATTCAGAAACCTAAATGAGGAGGCTTTTAGGGCGCTTTACACTGCCTACGTGAGACCAGTCTTAGAGTATGCCGCGCCATCATGGAGCCCCCACCTGAAGAAACACATAAAGAAACTGGAGAAGGTTCAGAGGTTTGCGACGAGGCTTGTCCCAGAGTTACGAGGGATGGGATATGAAGAGCGGCTGAAGGAACTGAACCTTACGACACTAGAGAAAAGAAGGGAGAGAGGAGATATGATAGGGACATATAAAATACTCAGGGGAATTGACAAAGTGGAAATAGATGAAATGTTCACACGTAATAATAACAGAACGAGGGGACATGGGTGGAAACTGGAAACTCAGATGAGTCACAGAGATGTTAGGAAATTTTCTTTTAGCGTGAGAGTAGTA